GAAAGTGAATGTAATGGGTTTGACTGGAATTCGAACTCGGGTCTCCGATTCCATTACTCCACCAATTCCAGTTAGGTTCGTTATATTCATTTACGAGAAATTACCCAAAGGGAATGGCATGTCTTGTATTGCTAAATTATTGTCTCCAAAAAATCTTACAATCTAAAAATATTTTCTAGTTTTAAATAACCCTTGAAGGGTTGATAAGCCGTAAAAAAACGAAAGAATGTATCTATCAACGGACCAGTAATGTTTTTACGCGCGTTCATCGGTTTCTGTTGACAGACGCAGACAATGTACACCCGGTATAAAACATTTTGGAAATGAGCTTTCTTTTAAATCCGAATCATTGTATAAATGAAACCAGCGCTTGTACAATTTAGCTGTGTGAATTAATTGAAACTGTTACCTGGCTAAATTCACTTAAGCCGTTTGTCGCTCTCAGTCTCTCTAATAATTAGGATTTAAAATGAATAATGATACAAAGATAACAGTTTCGCTTGTAAACAAATTCTCAATCGGAATTGATGCTCTTTTTGAAACCTATTAAATCATATTCGAGTAAATACAATGGGTGTAAAAGGTGTCCGATACATTGTTAGTTGTATGTCCCTAAAGGACGTACGTGATCACGACGACCGATCAGTTTCCTTTTCTTCGTTATATGGTGAGTTGTTATGCATTCTTGGGAATGTCGTGGGACTTATCGTTCCCTTCTCAAAGCTTTAGAATACAGACACGGTTGTCCTTATTTTAGACTAGTTGCTAGCAAAGGCTAGAGATCACGGTCTACCTTGCTATTATACGGAGAAAGAAGTGGTGGGTCCATGCCTTTCTCAGAATATTTCCACAAAAGTAAACGAAGCTGTCTATTCAAGAATTTGAACTCGGATTCCACTTTCCACGCTGATATGTTACCCTATCCACACAATGTAAAGTTAATTTGATCAGATCGGGGTATATCTGAACAGTAGACCTTTAGTCCGCCAGTTTTTCATTTAAGGAAATCACACAAGTCATGTATTCTATTTTCGATTTAATATCCTCGTGTTGAAGTCCAAGAATAAGACAGTTCCTGCTTCAGTACATATGATATATCAGCTATTATAAATTTAATGTGAGGGTTAAAAAAATCGCGATTCATACAGATTCCTCCAAGGGTTAGTGTTAGGGTTAGGAGTTAGGTGTTAGGGTTAGGCTTAGGGGTTTGGGTTAGGGTCAGGGTTGGGTTAGGGTTAGGGGTTAGGGTTAGGGGTTAAGGTTAGGGGTTATGGTTAGGGTTAAAGCTTAGGGTTAGTGTTGGGTTAGGGGTTAGGGTTAGGGTTAGGGGTTAGTGTTAGGGTTAGGGTTGGGTTAGGGGTTAGGGTTAAGGGTTAGGGTTAGGGGTTAGAGCTAGGGTTATTATTGTAATAAGAAAGGACAGGGTTAGGGTTAGGGGATAAGGGTTAGGCTTATTATGGTAATAAGAAAGGACAGTTTAGTGAGAAGAAATAATCTCTTCAGTTCATTGAGAACCTATTTTAAGAATGTCAGCAAGCTAGATTACCCTTTGAAGATTTTCTATATACGTGTGGCGTAGCCGAGTCCACGGCATGCTGTCTTTGGTCAGGATCGATCCTGGTATCGGAGAACAAGTCGTCAGCCCACAGGCGTCGGTCGTTGGTGGCAGCTCGTCTTTAAGTTTATCTCTTCAACTATGACCTCTCTTACCCACGTTGTGATATTTGATCTTAATTATCGATGGGATACCTCAACCAAGAAAAACCAAGGAGTTGAATACGCACACAAAATTGAAAATAAAACAAACGACGCCCGAATAAGTCACTAGATGATATTTATATCAAAATAATAATAAAAAAAATATTTACTGTTCTTTTTTTCATTTCTTTCTTTTCCCAACCCGTTTCTAATATTTGGCGACGGAACGAAAATTTCGGCTAACTCCTCTAAGGATGACCAGACTTGACAACTGGATTTAACTTCAAGTACCGTTGATTGTACTTTCAAGGACGGCACAAGGACTTCCTCGGAGATTTCTTCAGTGACAACTGGATTTAACTTCAAGTTCTGTTGATTGTACTTTCAAGGATGTCCACAAGGATATCGTCGGAGTCTTTCTTCTTCAGTGAAAAATAATAATTATTATTATCATTGGGTTGGCAAAACAGCGTAATGGCAAAAATCTCTTAACTCCCCGTCCGCGTAACTCGCTGCAACTCCGGACAGCAATTCCAACTACTTTAGAACCCCCCCCCCCGCCCACCTCGCCGGGGGGGGGTATGCAAATATCCTAAAATTGAAACAGTCTCCTTCTTTCTTTCATTCTCTGGTTCATACTTCCAATTTTGAAAGATCACCCCTACTCTGGAAGGAGTTATTATATGACGTCAGTCTTCCTGACGTCTTCCTCAATTGCTCATTATGTCTTCACAATTATAATTTTCTTACTCAGAGAAATTTTGGTTACTAATTTTCCCAGTACGTTGACATTGACACTTCAACAGTCGACTTTAAACTCTGGCCTCTGAACCTTGCCATCTCTGTCTCGACGAACAGTAACAATCGTATTTTGTATCTTTTTCCCACGGAATTCGTACACATGTTCTCAATATCCTGGGAAAATGAGTCCCTTTCTGATAAAAAATCAAATCAAATCGTTTTTGTAACACTTTTCGTACGTACGCCATGTTAAATATTATTACATACGAGGTTTTTATCAAAATGTATTTGGAAAGGGTGCTATAGAAAAAACTATAAAACATATCAATTCAGCATTTAATCTCCTTCGAACTAGTCCCCTTTTGAACCCATACACTTTATGTAGCATCGTTTTCCTTGAGGGAAGCATTCCTGGAACTACTTTTCTGAGATAACAAGTAGCTGCCTCGTTTCATTCTCTTGAATGCCAATGACGTCTTGAAGTTTTGTTCCTTTCAAATGGGATTTGATATTTGGAAAGAGGAAAATTTCTCAAGGGACGGGATCTGAAGAATATGGCGTTTGTCCGACCTGAGGAAACTGCTGCACCAGCTATGGCCACTCATGGAATCTCTGTGGTCTGGTGAGACGACCAAACTCTTCAGACCTTCCTTCCAAACACTGCTATTAAAAGGGAGAGTAGGCGAGAACATTACAGCTTACTGTATATGCGCCTCAAAGGTCAAAGTTAATCTGCGTCGAGCGGCTTCATTTTACGTACTTTAGATGCATTTCCATGGCAACAGTCATGTTATTTTACGTACTTTAGATGCATTTCCATGGCAACAGTTATGATATGTTTTATTATATATATATATATATATATATATATATATATATATCGGCTGTAACAGCAAAATTGTCCGAATTATATTAAAGAAAAAATATCTATTTGTTAAATTAAGCTTTCAAACATCGTATTTTAGAAATGGTTAAAGATATCTTTATGACGTCATAATCCCATCGCCAGTCATCGAGTGAGTCTGTGATCGATCCTTATGGCCAGCCTTGGAGATGGTTGTTCGATCTTTCATTCAAACCCTGCCCTACGTTTTGCTTGTTTTAGATAACAGGGCGGGCGAAAGCCGAGTCGTATACTCTACGTCGCTGATCTGGTAGCTTTGGCGAGAGGACGTCTAAGGAACAAAGTAAAAAACATCTGTGTCACACAACTCTATATCAAAATTTCATACTTTGAACTTTCTAATAACTAGATTATCCAGCATGTAGATTTTCAGCACCATTGCCCTTAATACCCCGTGACACTATGTCTAGCTACGCTCGGTAAACTGGTACAAGTCTGATTCCTTCCACACTGGGATTTCTGCCGGCCGACCATTCAGGTGTATTTAGTAGTTTGGAGCAAGGGTGGAGTCTAATTTCATTCCGCGGGAGCAACATGGAGCTTGGCAAAGTGGGCCTTGAATCATCTGCCATCTGTCCCTCTGGCAACACGGAATTCGGGTTAACTGGTCCCTTCTTCTCCCAATGTCCTGTACTGTCTTTTCTCTTCGCTCGTCTATATCTATAGATATTCACGCAAACTCGGCGAGGGACATGACGTGGTTGGGAAGTTGATTGCCTGGCCAAATTTGGGGAGATCCCTGCCCCGAACTGTGATGATGGCAGAATATCTCACCATCACCAGCCGAGGAGAAAGGCAATTCCTCCATCTTCCTTGAAATTCCACCTGGACGTTTTACTTCTCTAGACCTTCACGCAAACTCGGCGAGGGACATGACGTGGTTGGGAAATTGATTGTCTGACCAAATTTGGGGAGATCCTGCCTCGAACTGTGATGGTGGCAGAATATCTCACCATCACAAGCCGAGGAGTGAAGGCAATTCCTCCATCTTCCTTGAAATTCCACCTGGACGTTTTACTTCCCTAGATCTTCACGCAAACTCGGCGAGGGACATGACGTGGTTGGGAAATTGATTGCCTGACCAAATTTGGGGAGATCCCTGCCCCGAACTGTGATGGTGGCAGAATATCTCACCATCACCAGCCCAGGAGTGAAGGCAATTCCTCCATCTTCGTTGAAATTCCACCTGGACGTTTTACTTCTCTAGACCTTCACGCAAACTCGGCGAGGGACATGACGTGGTTGGGAAATTGATTGCCTGACCAAATTTGGGGAGATCCCTGCCCCGAACTGTGATGATGGCAGAATATCTCACCATCACCAGCCGAGGAGTAAAGGCAATTCCTCCATCTTCCTTGAAATTCCACCTGGACGTTTTACTTCTCTAGACCTTCACGCAAACTCGGCGAGGGACATGACGTGGTTGGGAAATTGATTGCCTGACCAAATTTGGGGAGATCCCTGCCCCGAACTGTGATGGTGGCAGAATATCTCACCATCACCAGCCCAGGAGTGAAGGCAATTCCTCCATCTTCCTTGAAATTCCACCTGGACGTTTTACTTCTCTAGACCTTCACGCAAACTCGGCGAGGGACATGACGTGGTTGGGAAATTGATTGTCTGACCAAATTTGGGGAGATCCCTGCCTCGAACTGTGATGGTGGCAGAATATCTCACCATCACCAGCCGAGGAGTGAAGGCAATTCCTCCCTCTTCCTTGAAATTCCACCTGGACCATTTACTTCTCTTTTTGCCTCCTGATCAAAACCTGTCCCCTGGGCGAGGTGTGGTCTAGCCTAAAATGCTAAATTCAATTATCGTCCAAATCTTCCATCGGCGGGGAATTCTTATCGCGTCCTTATGTGGTCGGCTGCATCTGGGATTCATTCCCTGTCGCTTCAACACGCCAGCTTTGGGTTAACAAGTGACAAAAAGAGACAATTTCTCTTAATCTATTTTATCACGTCTTAGGCAGACGAAGGAAAAATATAACTACAATGCTACTCCTGTCATCCAAGTCATATCAATTGAGTGAATTTTGGCTAGAGATTCGTTTTTATCCGTCGTGAATACTTGAAATCGTTAAAATGTAATCTATTCTACCGCGCGGGTCAAGTGGGCACTTAAGAAAAATACCATCACTTAAGATTAAGTTGACCATGTAGAGATGATATCTACGCGAGTCATCGTCGACACCCACACATTGAGGTGGGGGGAGAAAAGTAAAAAAAAAAAATCCTCTCCCTCCATTTTCTTTCTTATCAGTAAATATTCAGTCTGTCGAAAAACATCATTATTCTTTCTTGTTTTTCAATTTATTTTGAAAGACTTTTCCCCAATTTACCAGCGCTTTCGTAATAGTATCATATCTCACTGGAATTCTCCGAGGGTTTTATAACACTATTGGACGCTCCTTTGAGCAATAATTGGGTATAATTATTATCCAAGCTTAAAAGAAGTATCGTGATGAAATCGTTCGTAAACGAAATTAATCTTTAATTAATCATAGCTAAGGATCGGAAGCTCATGAAGGATTAAAATTAAATTCAATAATGTATATATTATTCCAGGATCATTTTCCAACTTATTCAAGATGAACTTCTCCCTCTCTAACATTCTAACTTCCTGATCTAGTGTAACACGCTGATTCACATGTTTCCCGTACTATTTCATTTTCAAGTTTTTTTCTCATTGCTTTTTGAACTGTCATTGCTGAAACTCCTCTTTCATGTTCCAAACATCTTATGGTTTCTAACTGATCACTTATTCCGAGGTGAAAATTAAGATCCCTCTTCCTGTTACGCCTCATCCAGTTTTCCTCTCTACTGTTGACTCTTTTTTAAACTTGTTGTTTCTTGAAAGGACTTCGAAGATGGAGTATGAATGTTAGTACTATTACTGAAGATCCGAGCGATATTTTTCCTCTCACCCTTGCTCTCAAAGCTTAAAAGTATAATCGTGATGAAATCGATCATAAACGAAAATCATATGTTCACCATTAATTAATTATAGTTAAGGATCGAAAGCTCATGAAAGATTGATATAAAGTTCAAACATATATATATACATATATATATATATATATATATATATATATATATATTCCAGGATAATTTTCGAACTGATAGATGATCTTCGCCCTCTCTAATCTTCTAACTTTCTGTCCTGATGTAACAATTTGCTTCACACGCGTCACGTACGATTTTTTTCCAAGTCTTTTTTCACTGCTCTTTGGTTTGTCATAGTTGACATTCCTGTCTTACGTGCCAAACGTCTTAAGGATTGAATTGGATTGTTTGTATTTGATATCATTAAATCTAAGTTGAAATAATGATCCCACTTGTTGTGACCTTCTGATACAGTTTTCATCTCTACTGTTCCCTCTTTTTTAAACTTATTCACCGTTTTCCTTTATGGTTCTGGAATAGAATTCGAAGATGGAATGCTGAACATGAATATTGGTACCATTACTGAAGTCTTGAATTATTTTTTTTTCGCTCACCATTGATCATTTTGGGTAACAAGTGGGTCTGACAAAACGATTTCAACCTGTTCTCTTTCTATCTGAAAAAACTGAAACGGTTTATCAATTATTCTTAGGATACATGGTGTCGAGGTGGCTAAATGGCTTATCTGAAAACCTGGGGAAAAAGACACTCGATTACTTTAATGTTTATTTTTATTTATTTATTTTTTTTTTATTAAACTTTTTGTTGTATGGACAATTTTGCTGTTACGTTCTTTGGACAATTTTGCTGTTACAAACGGTATATTCTGAACTCCTTTTATGCGCTGATATATATGCCCCACATGTTTGGAGGAAAAATTGAAATTGCTGTATTTGCTGGCCTATTGCCGTACGAACAGATTGGACGCACCCAGATTTTGGCATGGAATATTTAGGAAAAACAAATGTACACATCACAACCAATAAAATCAAAATTATATTCTTACCTCTCATTCTCACTAACCATGATAGATACACTTACAGTACAATCACAAATTATACGACTGGTACTTTTTTAATAGAAGTGAGGTAAGGTTTAATTACCAGGAAAGAATTTTAGTACATTTCATCATGCCTTTATTGAAAATTGTTTCATTTTTTTTTCAGGGACCAACATCTGCACACATAGAGAATAGCTACAAAGAAAACTGCTGGCATCCGTGGACACTGGTGCATATAGCAATAGGCAAAAAAACACACAGAAATATGGTACCGTAATTTCCAAAGTATAATACGCCTTCATCATACTTATTATAAAACCCAGGTTGTGTGTGTGTGTGTGTGTGTGTGTGTGTGTGTGTGTGTGTGTCTGTTTGTTTATATATTGGATCGGATTTCCTACATTTTTCAACCGATTTCTACAAAACTTCACAGGACTACGTAAAATTACCTTGCGGTGGTTCTGACAGCCCCCAAAATTGGAAAACACAAGTGTTTTTGCACGAAACCAATTTGAAAAGATTATTAAGAGGCATCACTGTCGCCAGAATGAAAGGGGGACAACTCATATCGAGTTATACTTATTATAAAACTCAGGTTGTTTGCGTGTGTGTGTGTTCGTTTGTATATGGGATCGGATTTTCTACATTTTTCAACCGATTTCAACAAAACTTCACTTTTCTTTTGGCAGGTAGTGTTTCTTATTGTCATGCACGCTTTCTTCTTTATTTTTACATTCAGAATGCTTTAAAAATTCCATTTAAAAGACAATTCTTTATAATAAAATTCTATTCAATCGGTAGACTCATAACGATTGAAAACAATGTTTTTGTTTGAGTTTGGGTTTGACCAATTCGTAAAGAAAAAGAAAGACAAAAAAACAAAAAACAAAAACAAAACAAAACTAATGAAGACATGCGTGTCCGTCAACCTTAAACAATAATCTTTGTCAATTTTATTTTTCAGTCTTTATGATGGTCGATACTTGATCTATCTCGGGCTCTACTGCTAGTCATTAATACGCACACCAAAAAACTGTGCTGAAAGCGTGGAAAAATGCTTCTACTCAGGCAGCGCAACCCTTGTTTGGTAATCAAATCCTATAAATTGTACCCCTCCCCTTTCATTACGGCCAGCGTTTCCTACTATTATTTAAAAGAAAAATGGTTTTAAACATAGAATAATATTATTCTAATTTAGGTTTTTATTCTTATTTTATTTTACGGCAATTTTTAAAATATGTTTTGTAGTTGTGCATAATACGCACCCCTGATTTTGCTTATTAATTTTTTTTAGAAAAAAAAATACTTATTATACATGGGGAATTAATTATGTTAAGAAATGAAGTCCCATATCATGCAGAAGAGCAAATTCCACTACTTGTATATCAACAAAAAACATAGACAAAACCAGCGGCAATATACCTGTTATGTTTTGCATATATCTCTGCGTAGTAGTAGTCGTTGTACAGTTGTCTGTGTCATGAATAGCAACCGGGTTTACTAGGCGTAGCCCCCTATGTTCGACAGTTGTTTTCTATTTATACTTATTTAATTTGTATACGATACTACAATACCAGCCTCAAAATATTTCTATAAAATCTGGAATTTCAACAAAATAAACAGTAAAATATTGTGTAATTCTAACCTTTTTTAATATCGTTTTCCTGGGTGAAATTTTCAGGGATATTTTTATTGGTATCATGTTTGTTCCCTTCTAGGGGTCCTAGTTTCAGAGATAAGCTCTATGTGTGGCACTAATTTCTGGCGAACCCCACTTTTACGTGGTCTTTATGTCAGTATTTATAGCCAGTGGAGAGAGACCCTTGGTGAAGGGTTAAGGAACTGAGGAGGAGCTCACTCCGACACCTCTCATTCTCACTAGCCATCAATTTACGTATTCTTTATGTCGCTCATTCCCTTTTGGAGGGTAAAAATTCGCGTTCGGCAAATACGGTAAATAAAAATTTATTTTTGTAAAGAATTAAACAATGTGTAACGGTTAATTAGTAATGATTCTGTCAAAGATTTCTGCAAACCTGAAGATTACAATCTTTTTCATTTATTTCTAAAGAAATGCGTTAGACAACTGTGTAGAATTGATTCTTAAATAAACAATTGATTATTACAACAGTTGCTAAAGATCTGACGAATTTTTGGCACGATTAACCACATATTGTGCAATTAATTTGATTGATAAGTTCATCTTAATCTCAGCAATAATCGTGAATTTATACAATATTAATAAGATCGATAGTGTAAAAAATAGTATTGACCCATCTGTAATATTTTATAATTGTTATTTTTATGTAAATTTATGAAATGACGTTTTTTTTTTCAACACATCGAGTCATACTTTCCTTTACTCCTTTACTTGTTAATTCTTGTTTTCTCTACTGTGGAAATTATTTTTGCTTTTCCCGATATTACACCTTTCTCATACACCTCTCTATAGCGTTGTGATATCTTTGTTAGGATCTATAATCAATAGCGGGTGTGTTGGTAAGTTATCGGGTCAAATTATCAAAATATTACGGAATATTTAAACGTCAGAATCTTTTAGCACACACGGCGTACAGCCATATCACGTTGGAAGAAAAAAAAAACGTCTCTCGTACGATCACCGAAGGTAAGCAACCTAGTTAGAAACTAGGTGGATGACCGCTTCGGAATATCGGATGCTGTCAGCTTGGATGTGCGCCTAATGGAATGGATAACGGCTTCGGAATTGTAAATGGGAGAGCCGGGTTCCATTTCCAGTTGGGACCGTTATATTCACTTTCGCATAAATAACCACGGGAAAGTTAGGAATCCGCTTCTTCGCCCATAGCTATGGATT